GCAGGAATGGTGCCAGAAGCTTTCATTTACATCTACAGGTTCGTTCTTTCATGTTTGGCCTTCACGGTATGTGTGGCTATTTTTTCATTTTTGAGCAAACAATTATCCTTGTTTGAAACTTTTTAGATATTTTCTTGTCTTGAAAACCCTCCCCAAATTTCTTCCTTAGCCTCCAAGGGGAAAAATGGTCAGAGTCAAGCTTTCTGAAGTTTGTTTGAATACAGACATATATGACCACAAGAATAAAATATGATTTTATTGATATGACTAAACTCATAACTTGTTTTCCTTAGGCTTAATTGCATTTTTTTTTGCCACCCATGTTCCACAATTTTGCGATTTTTGTCGCTTAATTTTTAAAATTATACATTTTTCCATCCAATTTTTTTTTAACATTTGCACATTTTGCTAACTTGTTAGTTGATTGTTTGTTGTTAATTAATTGTTGACATGATATATTGGTTATTGATGTGACATGTTAATTATTGATATGATACATTATGTCACATCATCATTATATGATATGTTATCATTATATGTTAACAATCAACATTTTACGTCAATAGTCAATATGTCATGTTTAGGGTTTAGGGTCAGTGATCAAGTAACATGATCAAGTAACAGTGTCAGACTGGCAATTAATAAAGTGAAAAAATGTATAATTTCGAAAGTACGGTGACAAAATTTGTGAAATGAGTGGCAAAAAAAATGTAATTTAGTCGTTTATTTATTTATCTATCTTGGTGTTAATATATATTTATGTTTTTCTTGATTGTTAATGGTGGTGAATTTTGAGCAGTGGTCGATTAATAAGGACCTTGGCAGATGCACAGTACGGGAAGCACCATTTAACAACTGTGGAAATCGTGTACAACATTATTTCTTTTATTGTGGCTGTAGTTACCACCATTGCCTTTACTGTATATGCAAAGAGGAGCTTAAATGAACTCGAGATAGCAGAGGCCAATGAGGAAGGTGCCTCTGCATCTGGGAGTGGGAGTGGTGGTCTTGAGATGGAGAAGGCTTCACATTGAAAGCCCTCTCATCTGATAGTGTATATTTTATGTATCTAAAATTTGGTTTAGGATTACACGTAACATAGTGTTTTCCACTCTCTTACGCCCTTTATTCATTATTGGAATGAGGATGAGGATTTAGGATAGAAAAGTCTGCAAAACACACCAACGCCTTTCAATTTAGTAAACCAATCCAGCTATTATTAAGCGTCTGTTAATAATAAACTAGATGTAAACCTGCCCGATGCGCGGATAAAAAAATATTATTTAAATTTAAAAATATATTTGTTTATTAGTTAATATATAAGTTTTGAATATAACTTTTTTATTATGTAATATAAATTTATTATTATTTTTCTTACACCAAACAAATTTATTATTGTTAGTGATGGGGTTTGACATATTATTGCAAATTATTTTGGTATTTATATTTATATCAATAATCTATCATTAGTCTCTTTAAAACTTAGCTTAAGATGAATATTAAAACATTTATACTTTAATACTAAAATTAAAAAATGTAATAACAATAATATCTCTTTAAGTCCATTACTTTTGTCTAATATTTAACTCAACTTTTTTCTCTAATATTTTACATGGTGTATGATTTTACATTTAATCTTATATTTTACATTTTGCTATTACTAAAATATTATTATATATATATATATATATATATATATAATTTAATGTCTTCATCGATTATTATTATGTCTTTGCAAATCATTTTTTTTATCATTTGCAAATCAAATTTAAATATATATTATATGTTGTCGTATTTTAGCAATTATGTATACAAAAAAGTTGCGATGTAATTCCATTAAGATTTTTTCAACTCTTTGTTTTACTATTTCACTCAAATAGTAGATTATTATATGTCTCATTTTTTTTAGTATTTATTGAAATGTTTCAATTAAACCAAAAATCAAAATGAAATGGATAAAATGAGAAAAAAAATCATAAAAATTAAATAGTTAAAAAAATACTGTATTATAATTCTAAACAGAATATAGTTTGAAATTATTTTATTATTTAGTAATATATGAATAATATTGGGAATGAAATCTTTCATAATTTAAGTTTAGATTTTCATTCTTTTGATTTTGTTAGATTCAAATTAAAAAAAATATAAGAAGGGTGAATAAAATCTTTTAAAGAATTTCATGTTTAAAAGTAATATATCCAAATAAATATTTACTCAAGATTTTCTATAATTAAATTATAAAACAAATTATTTTAATATTTTATCAAATTAATAAATTGATAATAAAAAAATATACATAGATTTGTTATTTTCAAATATGTAACTCCTTATCTAAAATCCAATTTCCGAGCTAGATTGTTAGGGTTTTCTCAAAAAATAAAATAAAAAATTTATTGTTGATTGAAATTAATATTAATCATTTATTATTTTTCTCACAGCTTAAATGTTAATCAAATTCATTCTCTTAACTAACATAATTATTAATGAGAATAAATGCTAATTTATGATAATTTAAAATTATCATCGTAGCAATATGATAATATTTTAATTTTTAATTATTAGGTTTTGAAAAAATAAATTGTTTAAGGATCGTTTATAATTAGCATGAATATTAATATTAATTATAATAATATTTATTACTTTTCTGTAACATAATCAAATTAAATTTCTTAAATTATAAAATTAATAATATATAAAACTAATTGAATAAATTATAAATTATCAGATATTTTAATATACTATTAATATTAATTAAAATTACTTCATTGTTGTTTCTAATTAATATTAATAGTTATACTATTTATTATTTGTCTGTAAATGAAAATTTAATAAAATTTGATCTTTTAATTAATAAGCTCATTAGTTTATATATAATTACTAATTAAACGTAATTTCAAATTATCATACATTATAGTTTCGAAAAAATGTTTTTCTTATTATAATTAATAATTATTTCATAATATTTATTGTCTTTTATTTTTTTATAATAGATATTTTAATCAAATTTAGTCTCTTAATTATTAATTAATATAATTAATAATTAAATAAAATTTGAAATTATTTATTATTTGATACAATGTAACTATATTATATAATTTGTCACAATTATTAATATTCAATAGTAATAATATACAAGGAAAAAGAGAATTAAGTTGATTATTTAGTTAAAAAATTTAATATATATTAACCCTTGAAGAGATAAAAGTGTGAGTGATTTGAGAAAAAATTAGAATAAAAAAAACAAAAAAATGAGAAATTCATAAAAGTATTGAGTGATTTGATATAGGTGAACAACAAAAATAATATTATAAAAAGTGATATATAGATAATATATCATTGTTATTTTCAATTTTTAATAAAAATAAAAATAAATAAGTCATATTGGCAATGAACATGCAAGTGAGGATCCAATTCAACATTAACAAATTCTTTTTTCATCACTTTCCTGCAAAATTAACAATTGCATATTAACAAATAATTTAAAACCACAAATAAAAAAAATTAGAGCAGTTTTTTATCCACAATTTTGAAGTCTTTATTAAATTTTTACTCTTGGTACACATATCTAAACACGAAAACAAAACATACATTGAAACAAATCATCATAAATTTAGTTTCACACAAGAAGTGCTACATTTCTCTAATTTGCCATTCTTCTTCTCAAGCAAGACTAAAAAAAAGAAGAAGAAAAAGTAACATCTTCCGTTTTTAACATATATTACCATGTGAGATAAAATTTAAATAAAGAAAATAAGAGATGAATTAAATAGAACGTAAAATTATAATATAAAGGATATTTTAAAGATGCAATAAAAGATAAAGACCGAGAGAAATTGACATGTAAAATAAATTATCAAATTTCAAATTTATGTGCAAATAAAATTGAGAAAAAAGATGAGAAAATAAAAATAATCTTTTAAACAATAAAAGAATGAGAGTTGAATTAAATAGAATAGAAAGTAAAAAAAAAATGATAAATGATAGAAATTTAAAAAAATTGTTGGACAGAAAAATATGTTACGATAGGAACATGTGAGATTGATTTTCTAATTAGTGAGAGGATTTTTTTTCCTCTTCCAATTAACGAAGTATTTATTCTTAAACGTTTGTGCATATTTAGATTAGATGTAGTTTTTTGACCCAAGGGTGTAATTTTAAATTTCGTCGCAGGAATTAATGCATCTTTATTATTAATGATTTTAAAATTGGAATTGGTGAAAGCACTTGTCCACAATTTAATGATTTATTAGTTCAAATTAGGGATGGCAATGGGGCTCTATAGGGACGGATAATAGTAAACTCGTTCCCACTCTGCTGAATGAAAATTGGCCACATACCCACCTCATATCCGCGCGGGTATCCATTAAACGGGTATCCATGAATTTCTTGAATACTCACGGATATCCACGGATATTCATAGATATTTATAAAATTTTTAAGAAATTAAAAAAATTATATTACAAATAATTTTAAGTTTATATTTTAATAGCATTGAAATATTAAAAATAAAAATTCAACGTTAATTTTGAACTTTTATTTAACGTTAATTTTGTTGAAATAATAATAAAAATTCAAGATAATCAATAACTTAAAATACATCAATCTCACAAGTAAGTTAAAGTTAGGGGTGTTCATGGATCGGTTTTCTCAAAAAATCGATCCGAACCGAACCGAACCGTTTTATAAAAGTGGATCGGTTAACCGATCCATTTTTATAAAGTGGATTGGTTTGGTTTTTTTAAAATATAGATAAGTTTTTTTGAAATTGGATCGGTTCGGTACGGTGCAGTTATCCACTTTTTTACTTATATATCGATCGGTTTTTTTAGAAAACCAAACCGATCCACTTTGTAAAAATGGATCGGATAACTGAACCGGTTTTATAAAGTGATTCGGTTCGGATTTTTTTTCAAAATGGATCGAATTTTTCAATATGGATCGGATCGGTTATGGATCGGTTCGGATCAATTTAGATTTTTTGCACACCCCTAGTTAAAGTCTCATCACAAAGCTATAATAATTCAATCTCATAATTCCAAATGAAAGTAAATAACTTAAAATACATAAATCTTATTGGTCCAATCAAAGCTAGAAAATTAATCAAATTACATCCAATATAATCCTATAACATGCTTAACACATGTCGGTAACTTCATCAACCTCACTTTTGTAAGAAAATAAGATGAGAGTGTAATTTTAAAATTATGTGGTACAAGAATAATTAGAATATTTAAGAAATAATATTAAATGGGTACCCGCGGGTATAGATATCATCATACCCGCCCCTGCCCCATTTATAAACGGATAAAAAATTATCCGTCTCCATTATTCTCGGGTACCCAATTAGCCTATCCATTTATTATCCATAGCGGGTTTTATCTATAGATACCCGCAAGTACGGATATTTTTGCCATCCCTAGTTCAAACATTATACAGTAGTCCAGCTGGTAGTAATTTTGTTTTTATGTTATATAATATATAATTATAAGAAATTAATATATAAAAAGTTGCGAGTAATCATAAGGGACTAAATTATGTTGAGATAAAAAATTAATGATTGGTAAAATAATTTTTAAATATGCGAGAAGTATAATCTTTAAATGTATTTTTATATATTTTAAAAATATTTTCGATTAAATAAAGAAATAAAAACAAAAATGTAAGGTTTTGTAAGTTAAGTCAAAATGTTACGTAGATACAGTTTTGAACAGTGAGTTTAATTTACATACATTCTTAATATAAAATTGTTATACTATTAATTAGTTAGAAATATTAGTAATAACTATTAAAATGATTATTTTACAAATCAACAATTTAATCATATATATATATATATATATATATATATATATCGGATAATAGTATAAAATCTTTGTATAATACTTTAGTGCAAGTACTATTTACTCGAGAACAATTTGCGTCTGCCCTTTACAATCATGATGAATTCATGTTAATAAGAAAACAGAACCAAAGTATTGTATTCTTTTAATAATAAAAATCATAATTAAAACCAATTAGTAATGTTATATTGGCAGTTTTCAAGTTTTCCTACAATCAAGATGAATTCATGTTAGTGAATATTGGATGCATTAGGTCTCTCATACGGAGATTGGACAATGTGGGGAAGCTCAATTATAGATGTTGCATCTTCCACCATGATTATTGCTTGTTCATCAATTTGAGCACATTGGTTTGATTCTTTGATCATGCGGTTGGACCGCCTTGAATTGGAGGAGCCACCTTCAGGCCCCATCAATGGAGATTCATACACCTTATCAGCCTTGATTTTGCTACCCATCTGCTCTCATTGTGAGGAGATTAAAGCAAACAACATAAACATGTTAGAGCTTTGATCAAATCTTAAGGGTTTAATGGTAATGCATTATAAAATAGTTTTACACGGTCAACCAATTACAATTTATCATAAATACGTTTTTTAACTTTTACAATAATTATTTAAAAATCATATAAACTGTGATTTTTATTAGTTGTCAATGCATTACCATTAAACCCAATCTTATATTGTACTTCCAAACAAGTTTTATGAATCTAATGGCAGAAGAATGTCCATAGGTAATAGGTTATCCAACCTGAGTCACGAGAGTGTACAAAGGCAAGGTGCTGTAACTGCAAAGCACTTGAACAATTACACTGCATGACATGTTACCACCAAGTAGTGAGATGAGAAGATAGCACACGTTTCTCAGTAGCAATATATATCTTGAGCAAAAGTATGTCATGATTTTCTACTTTCAACTTTTAAAGAGTATATTACCCTATTATAAGTCTTGGGATTATGTAGGATATTTTCTCCATAATGCATGAATCAAATCCATAAGTACACTGCATAAGGATTAATACTCATTGTTAAGATAGAAAAAATATTTATTAAAGGTTAAACTATTCACCTGGTCCTTATAGGTGTTCCCTATCAAGTTTTAAGCCCGTATACTCGAGAAAACTATTTGTTAGTGTTTACACATTTTTTTGTGGCTGTTTATCACTGCATAAAAATTTTGTAGCAGTTTTACACCACCAGACATTCTTATCTGGGGTTAGCACTGGGTGCTAAAACTTGACGTTTATGCATGTATAGAGACTAAAACTTATAGTTTTCTCGTATAGGAACTAAAGCTTAAATTGAGACAACTAAGATCAAGTGAGTAATTTAACCTTTATTAAAATGGCATAGACTTGCTTCTACATTAATTTGAAAGGGAAGCTTACAGAGCCAACACTCACCCAAATCCAGAAGAAAAATGCAAGCTCAAAAGAGTTTTGAAACAAAATGAAGTGAAGTAAGTCAAGGACTAGAGCTGGGCGAGCAAACCAAAAGTATTCATCTGATGGCTTCACTTGTTTATGTTTGGTACCTTTCTTTCCCATCATATCAATTGATTCCTGAGCCAAACGAGCGATTATGTGCTCCAACTTTGCCCCCACAAGAAGTAGAAGCTGTTTCATAAGCAAGTTTAATACAAGTCTTACCACTATGTCGTTCTTCAAATCATTAGTTATGGTAACAAAATATCCAATTGAAAACAATGCAAGTCACTTACTATCAATGGTAAAAAGGCTAACCAGAAATAAGTGTGCCATCCTGCATATTAAACTCATAAGTAGGTAGATATAAAACATAGAATATTGCCAAAGAGGATCCTAGTTAAGTATTTACCTTCAAGATTCAACAGCAAAAACAGCACAACAAAGAGCCACAGGTACCAGCTATGGTAGGCAAAAAAACCAAGAGAGGTTGGCTTACTAGTCAATATTTTCTTGCAATGAACTAACATAGATGAGGTGAACTTGTTTGCACTCTTACCTTATGCCTACAACTTTTTTGAAATCAACTTCAAGTGTCCGCTGCATGTAATCATAAAAATCATACTCCGGAACGTTTGGGTGGTGTTGCTGGAAAAGGTTATAAGTAATGTAGTTTATTATACATGCATATGATGAATTAGTTATTCTCTGAAAGATTAAAAATATATGATATGACCAGATCTTAACCTGGACAAATCCGTATCGCAGTGCAAGGTAGTCATTCTTCGTAACAGAGCCAAAAAATTGCTTGAAGAATGATCTCTGCCAATACAAACCCAAACTGAAGGGTGACTATCAGGGGGAAAAAAACATCTTATTTATCCTTAGGTACTTTCGATATTGTTTCTCGTTGGTAACTATACATTGAAACTCTGAGAAACATAGAAAGTATCTTGATACACTTATTCATCTATATTTGTAGGCTAAGTTATGTTTTTGTTCTCTACATTTATTTTTAGGATTCAATTTGATTCTCTAATTTTTTTTAAAAAAATATTCAATATTACACTTTCATTCAAATTGACATTAATAACATTAACGAAATCGAATGAAAGAACAATTAGAAAACCAAATTGAATATTTAAAAATAGTGAGACCAAATTAAATATTTTAAAAATAGATGAACTAAAAATGAATAATAATTTATCTAATATCTTTTTTGTCTAGATAAATTTGAATTTTCTTTACCTATTTAATATTTTTTTTATTAAATAATTCCTTCATTTTGTGATATTTAATTTCAAGTATTCAATTTGTTATCTTTCATGATATTGTTAAGGTAATTCAATTTGTTTTCATGAATCATATTCAATTTTAATTAATATTTTAGAAATTAGATTGAACCATCCAATTCAATTGGATTGATCGAAAATTGATGTGATGATTAGTCCATTAACTTAATATTTTGGGCTCATATTATAACTAGTAAGAATTTATCAATCAATCTAAAATCTATATAAAAAAAAAACTAGAAACTTTTAAAAAATCATTATTTCCTTATTATTTTAATTTAATCTAAAATAAATTTAAGATAAATAAAACACTTATTTTAATATTACACATGTATAAATTAATTTGTTAATTATGATTTAATTTGGTCACTATATTTTAAAAATATTTTATTGATCTCACTATTTTTAAAATGTTCTATTAGATAATCTAATTTTCAAAAATTGTTCAATGTTATCATTTCTTATAATTTCATTAATGTTATTAGTGTTAATTTGGATAGAAGAACAATATGAAACATTTTTTTGAAAATTAGAAGACAAATTGAATCATTTAAAAATAATAGAACTAAATTGATTCTGAAAAATGAATAGAGTGAAAAAAAAATAATTTAACCATATTTATAAGTCTATTACAAGTAAAACACCATTTTCAAGCTTCCAATTGATGCAAACATGCGTTGTATATGAATCCACGTAGCAAAATGTGACATGCAGGATAATCACTCAACTTTCATTTTATTTGGTAAGATTTTCATTTTATGAACTGGTATAAGTTTTCTATTCCATTTTCCTTCATCCTATAAGTTGAAGGTTGAAGAAGACTAAGCAAGGTTTTGAAGACTTACCAGCCAACTAACAACAGCTGCTCTTCTCCAATGTCCATCAGTATGTATATTGAAGAACTCATGGTACTCTTTATCTGCATTTCAGAAAAACTAGAAAGTTGGAATCTGAAAAGACGAATCATTTCATTTTCATATGTAGATCATCTGAATTTTGGATTCAAATTACTTGAACTTATGTACTCCTTCCTATTAAAATTCTCCCACTTCTTCCATTGCCGGATCTACACCATGTAAAAATTAAACATTATAATGCTGCAAATCATGGATGGACTATTATTTTAATTAGCATATATCTGTTGGAGTATCATATCATCGACTTATTACCCTTGCACCTCCAAGAACCATTGTGATGACACAGAATGCTGCGTGTACAACAGCTAATACAAAGATAAAAATGTGAAGATGATGTAATGATTCCAGTGATAGCAATGGAATCTTCCCCTGCTTAGAAAAAAAGAAAGGAATGGATTATAAATATAAACCACATAATTTGTTTGTTTATGCAAATATTATGTTGTGAGAGGTGTTTGGCTAAATAGGGTTACTCTTTCCTTAATTTTTATTGATATATTATCCATTATTATCTTGTAATCTGACTTTTCAATTACACGAACTTGATCTATTTTTTACAGTTTTGTAGGATTCCAATGTTCTTTGTTAGTGACATGGTGGCTAGCAACCTTAATAAAACAAAGTAAATTCATTGGGTATAGTATTACACTATTACCTTCTGCCTACAATGCTCTGAACCGGTGTCTGTTGAAAAAAGCCTTCGTCTGTTTATTATAGCATCGTAGTATATCTGATCATGCTCTGAAGCTTCTGAAGACCCATGAGGTATCTTGCAAGGAAGCATTTGGGTTGCAAGATTTGGTGAAATGCAAATATGACTTATTAGACCTTGAAATACGGTTAATAGGAGGGAAATGAACCCTAAAAGCATCAATTCTGGTGAAAACATAAGGTACACACTGATCAGGATGAAGAATCTCGTATTAGAGTAAACATCTATAGAAAAAGTATCACCTGAGGTTGTAATCAGTAGATGTGATGCAAATGTTTTGTACTCAATAGGATTGAGAGCACAGATTGTGTGATCCTCTTCAAAATACAATTATTACCTATATTTACTTTCTTCCGAAGACTCAATCCAGAGTCTTTGGTTTTGACATTACTCATTTGAATAATTTTATTCTTGAGCAACTGATTACACTAATGTGACTATTGATTCAATGAATTGTAGGGAGGAAAGGGGGCAATACTAATTGAAACATCTACAACTTTAAAATCGTAATAATATTCTTCACAGATCAAAATGTGAACAATAAAAAATTGTATGATGTGCCAACATATCCCAATATTGAAAAGCTTTGTTTGACAGTGAAACAAATTTAAACTCATAAAAGAAACTACCTTCTTCCAATTTTTGTAAGGCTTCATACAATGCAGTCTGATCTTTTTTCTTTAGGTACTATAACATCAAACCAACCAAACAACTCATCACGACCGAAGTCATACTGAGAAGAAAAAATTACGTAACAAGAATAACATTACCCCCTTAAACAGAACAAAATGGTTGAGTAATCGACCAGGCCACGATAAAATGTGATAGTGTGTTAGTTTACCTTTCCCAGGCGGTGAATAGCACGCTCAACACAAAGAGAGATGAAAACAATGATGGAGCAAACAACCGCGACAATCCATGTTGGTGTATATTCCAGAGACTGGCTCAGTTCTTCTGCCATGTTTTGCACTTTTTTTTAGCAAAGCAGCTCTTTCTGTTCAATTTATACTTAGGCCTGAAAGTGATTGTAGTTGAGGTAACGAGATTCTGCATATTGCATAGTTGATTGATGCCACAGCAAGCAAGGAATGTTTCCCCATTAGACAAGGTATCTGACAAATAAATGAAGTTGGCATGCATAGAGGGGGGAACCAGATTCAAAGTGCTGATCACGAGTAGCGCGCAAGATTGACTAAAAAATATAAGATTGTTTCACAAGTCACAACCATGGTTTCCATATACCAAACCTTACACATCCACGTTGCGACCCGAAAAAGAATCGAAAGTACATTTTGAAGTGTAATGTTTTTTGTTTTTTTGCGGAGAAAGTGCAGCTTCCATGGAACACAAAAGAAGTGTTGTGGTTGTCAATCTTATGATTGAGTAGTGTGTTCGTCGTCTCATTTTTAGGTGTACTTGTCTCCTTGTAGTATATGCATACAAAAGCCAAGGTTATTTTAAGAGGATGATGATTTCTAGCAGTTACAATTATGCTATGCATGGATCCATCCACCAGCAGATCCCTAAGAACATCTTTATGGCTACCTTACAAAAATAGAATGAGGAAAAAGAACCAAGGCGCAACAAAAAAATAGAAGACTAAACTATGATAAATAGAAAGAACGAAAAATATAGAGTAAAACTGTGAATGCATTTCAGGAAACTGTCAAACAATTACAAAATGTTCAGCTTTTATGTTTAAAGAATACAAGATTTGATTTAGATACATATATACTATGTGTATCACAAAAATTTAAAGAGACACACTTTCAAGTACCACCACTTTATCAATTCTCAATGCTAATCTTGAGTAGGTCATTGGCCCCGGCCAACTATATTCACTATGCCAAGCTCCATTACATCCATTTCTTCAAGCTTTTTTCTGCAAAATTACCTTGATCCTCCAATTGATACAAAATAATGAAGGTTTCCAGCGCACTCAAATCATCTGGGGTACTTGCTAGAAGGAAATAGTCAATGGTATGATGATCTTATGGTTTCCATGGTGCCGGAGGTGGTGGGGGTGTAGGAAACATTGGAGGAACAGCAGAGAAAAGGGTATTTTTGTCAATTAATGTACTTTTGTCGCCTGACAATGCCACTAGTGCTGCAACTAAACCAGCATTTCCAGCAAGAGTTGGCTCTGTATAATTGTAGTTTGTACGAACATCGTGGAAGCCATCATGCTTGTCGGGACCAGCAACCATGGCACCAACAATTGTATTTGGGTTTGGCTTGGAAGTGTCCCTCCATTTCCATCCACCTTTACAGTTATACTTGACCTTGTTCTTTGGTATAGATGCACCTCTATGGTGGACATGCTTTGGGTAATGATTACCAAAACCTACTATATAGCTCATTTTCCTCGGGTTATTTCCAAGGATGTAATCAATCTGCAAAAACACAAATGGGAAAAGAAAAGTTAGCCAAAACACCTCATAGTTCATAGTGATATCAATAGTATGAGGAAGAGTTGGATGCCACAGACATCTCACTTAAAGTAGAGAATATCACATACCTGAGTCTTGGCAAAGTTACGGAGAACATCGGTTGAAAAGAAATTAGGTCCACAATACCATCCAGGTGTATCAGCAGCATCAAGATAATCACTATATAGGGCAGCCAAAAAGGCAGCATTGACCACATATTGCAGAGGCTGAGGCCTACCATGGTTTAATTGAATCAAGCCTCCTGTGTGCACAAAATACCAACTATTTGCATGAGTATAAAAATTGGAAAGTCATGAACTCCAATGGTGCAAAGGTTTGAAGTAAGAACTGCTACCTTTGGTTCTATTAAAGCTTGTGAATACTGGTAGGTAGGAGCACATGATTATGCTTGTCTGATTGTGAAAGGTCCTTAAAATTTCTTCATATGGATACCCGGGACTCAAGAACAACCTCAAACGACTCAGAAGAACCTAAATACAAGATGACAAAATCAAATCAGTCAAATGAATTTTCACAAAAATTGTCATAATCTGAAAGGTGATAGATGATATTGAGACCACTTGCATGGGAACAAACACCCTAGGAAGACCAGGAGAGACAACATACAAGAGAATAAATGAGAAACGCTAACATGTGGATTTGAACTCAGAAAAGTATTAGCAGAACTCATGACACATACAAAAGCAAATAGTATCCCAGATCAGTAGCAATCATATCAAATACAGCAAAAATATTTCCAATTTATGAACAATAATTAGCCAGACGTCTAGATCAAATCTCGAGTTATTATTAGTCTCATTGTAAAATGAAAAGGTGATAAAAAATTAAGACCTTAACTTCCTGCTATTATCTGTTGATGTTAATCTAATTTACAAAACAACAAATCAAAATAACCTGAGCATGTTATAACTAAAAGAAAAAAAATCCCTGCAAAATTACCTGAGCACCAGCAAGTTTGTTATCCCAGCTCAATACACCATAATCAGGGCCTCCCCAGAAGGCACCAGCATGCTTGGCCAGGCCAGGAGCAGTAGCAAGCTTAAGGTAGGACGAATTTCCGGTTGCAAAATACATCCAAGCACCTCCCCAAACAAACTCATCCCAGTAGCTGGTAGAATTGTAAAATATCGCAGCCTCCGAACTCCCTGCACTGTACCTGCCTCTCTGCTCTCTCGAAAACTTGAAGAGGGTGGTCGCACCATGCACCAGTTTCTTCGAATAGGCTTTGTTGTCCTTGAAAACAATGGAAGCAGAAGCCAAGGCAGCAGCCATCTCAGCGGCAAGATCTGAACAACTGTGGCATTCAGTCACAGGCCGGTCATAGTCAATGTCCTCTGGACGCATCCAGCAATAGTGATCATTCGGTGTTGTACTCCCACCCGAAGTATCTCCAACCCCAACCTATCAAACAAGCCCAAAAAACCACATTTGAGATACATACCACTCCCCACAACAAAATTCTAGTCTATCCACCCAACTAATTTTCTCAAACCTTTCAATATAAGAAAAACACAAACAACATGCATCCTCCACAATTCACACCCCATAGCATGGTTTTAAAATTTGATCCATGACCCGTTATTTCAACCCCAAGTCAAGATTTATGGATCCCAGCTATCCCAATTGTGGATTCATGAACTACATCTGTCAGCACAATTAAGAAAGCTTGATCCATACTAAACCAGTCGTAAGGAAGAGAATGAGAATAGATTACCTGAGCAGCAAGGGTGGTGATGGTATCCGCAGTATGATTGAAGGTCTTGAGAAAATAATCAGTCCCCCACTTAATAACCTCCTTAACATGATCAAGCTCCCCAGCAGCCTCGTACTTAGCACTATACTCAATCACACTCCAACTCAACATAGTAATCGCAAAAGAAGCTGGAAAGTTAAACTTAATAGCATCCCCTGCATCATAGTACCCACCCACCAGATCCTTAATCGCCGACGAAGTCTCCGAAGACTTCCCATCCTGCGTACACGAGTTCCCCCTCCACGACACATTGTTATGCTTCGGCAACTTCCCAGCTACAAATTAAAAAAAAAAAAAAAAATGAATTAGTAATCAACGACATTGCGATTATCCGATGTGGGGTTTCCGAGCGCTTACATTTCTGGGCGTTGAAGAACATGAGGGCCTTGCGGAGGGCGAGGGTGTAGTTGTCGGGGGGAGGGTGCTTGTGGTGGTGGCGGGGGACGGTGTTGACAATGAGGGCGATGAATCCGGCGAGGAATGCGGCGAAGAGGACGGTGCCGAGGGTCCAGACGAAGATCTTGCGGCTGACGATGATGCATCCGAGATCCACGTACTTCTTCTTCTTCTGCTCGCCGGGTCCCAGGAGCCAACTCTGCTGAGTCTCGTCCAACGGACGCGAGAGCGCCGCCCTGTCCAGGTCCTGCAGGTTGCGGCTCCGCTCCTCCTCCGTCGCGGAGTCCGTCGCGTTGATCTCCAACGGACCACCCCACGGATCTCTACCGTACATCCTCTCTTTTTTTTACAGTCACCGACACAACAGAAGCTCACGGACACACGGTTTGTGTTGGTATTAGTAAGAGTAAGAGGTGGCGTTTGTTTGGTTTTATATCTTTTCCTTTATTGTTATATATTCCTAATAATTGATTAATTGGTGCGAATGGGGATTTTTAGTTGGCGAATGGCTGGTAGTGACGGTGCATTATTACTAAGCCATGTGTGTTGGGATTTTGCTTTCGTTTTTTGTTTGGAAAATTGATTAATTAGGTTGAAGACAATGACCAGCCTACCGTCGACCGTGACACTCTGTCCGCAAATACGAGAAAAGTAATATAATATTTGTGATTGATTATGGAATTTTAGAGTAAAATAGTTAATTATTTATGGTAGGCGAAGGTGGTGTTTGTTTGGGCCGACACTAGAAGGAATTATGATCCAGTGTACATCTAACCCACCGTGGTTTTCTTTAAAGTTGTTGAGGTGGGCCAAACAAATATATTTGCCTTCATAAACGTGTTTCTTCCTCACGCTTTTTGTGTAATGGAAGCATATGAAAGCCAGAGATATTTGACCAAAGTGTGGTAAGTGGTAACACATACGCACACCTTCTCGACCCACCCCATGCTTCTCTTCAAAGCAATTGCTTTGGAACAAGACTTTGATTAAGAGTAAAGTTGTTGCACAATACCACACATCTAGAGAATTAAATCTTACTATGATAATAATAAAAAAGGCATAAAACTTACAAAGGAATTTAAACATATGCCACTTACATTAATTATCGACCATTATACAATTATGTGATTTAAAATCAACACAAACTTGTATGAACCATGTTAACCAAAAATCAACAGATTATTATTTATTTATTTTTGTATAACAATTTCTTTACGTATTTTATTTTTAAGTATTCAAATATCTTCTTTATTAAAAGGATATTTTTGATTTTTTTAACTTCTTTAATTAATACTTAATTTTTAATTAAAAATATATAACAATATTTACAAATTACCATAAGAATATTATTTTATCAATTAATCTACATTTTCTTAACACGTTTTTAATTATATTTTTACATTTTATGTATTTTGATATAAAAATAATAAAAAAAAATCGTGCGAGGCATTAGATACTTATCATAACTAACTCTAAACGACATATGATGAATAATCGGTCATGATGTGTCATCTTTTATAACAATGACGTGCCATCTTTTATCAAATGTAACCGAAGAAACTTGCAGAGATGATTTCAGATTTTATTTACTAAAAGAATTCATATTTCGTCCTTATTTTAATAATATTAATAAATCAAAGGTTCGGTACGCCTACTCTGTTAATATGGTGTTTTATCATAGAATGATAGTTAGGTGGTATTTACATGATGTTATCTTCAAACTATATTATTGTTATTATAATCTACATCGACCTAACTTATTTATAAATAAAATATATTTTTAATCGTAATTTCATGTTGAAATCAAACATTGAAAATTAAGTCTATATCAATATCTACATATATACACACTAGCAACTCTGAAGCTGCAATTCCGAACATATGTCTAGTGATAGCATACATTCCATAAGGAGTAAAATTAGAAGCCTTCTAAGGATTATAGCACCTTATCCTGCAAAGGGTCGTAAAACTGGACTACTGCTATATACAATATACATACATATCAAAATATATATGCTTTTTCTTTAGTGAATGCATGTCTTCCATATTCCTAATGTGGAGCTAGAGATCAAAGCTATGACTGTGGAAATGGAAGATGGGATGATGGCGTTGTCTTGACACACTGTGTGCCCTGATTTCTTCTGCCACACTTGTCTGAAGTGTTGGAGGGCCACAAACTATGACACCCACATCAACATGGCTCCATTTCTCTGACATCAATTCATAAATTCCTGCCATATATGTATCCATATTAGTTAATCTGGATACATGTATCCACCACAAAGTATGTGTATCTGAATGCATTACTTTGCATGTAACTTGACTACGCAACAGGTCTTTCATGTTTTAAGCTTTAAAAACAAAAGAAAGCATTAACTTCATGAAGACATACCTTTAAAGTCTGGCCTGGAACCATAACGAATGACAGTTGACTTTGCAAGACTGTCTTGACTTTGATCCTTGTGAGCCAAATTGCCATTTTGCTGAATCTTATTAACCTTTATATTATTGGACATATCCTTCATAGAACTTTGCTTTTCCCAAATATGCCACAATGCAACAACAAAACCACCAAAGATAACAACACTTGCAACCATGCAGATTACAAATAGTAGTCCCTTGTACCACCATTGATATATGCCAAATGGGTTGATGTAGTAAACATACAACAAAATCAGCAATAGCATAAAGCCAACGGTGGATGAGATGACATATAGTCCAGACCAAAAATTGTTTCCTGTACCAACCAAAACTGACATGCCACAATCACTAGCGACAGGGCAGAATGAAGATTTTATTGGTTTGTAACTGTATCCCTCTTCCTGCAGATAATAACAATCAAATGCAATTAAGTGAAAAGTAAATAAATCATTAGAAAGTACAAATTTGTGAAAAAGAAATGTGGACTCACCACTGGAGGATCTGATTCTCGGGTGACATAGATATGAATATCAATGTTTACTTTATCTGAAAAGGATGGACATAATGTTTCCATGTCAATGGATGAAAGAAGTGGAAGCTCGTTTGATTTTTTCACCGCCCAAACAAGTAAAATGTTTCTTGGTTGACAGGGTTTCCCCTCCCTAACACGGTGGAGAATGTCACTCAATATTGCAAGGAAGGGTGAAAGTCCAATACCACCAGCCACCAATATAAGATTTTCATACCTTAAGAGAACAAAATGGCCAATCATTTCATCAGTTCGAGAACTAAAACATAAGTTGGCTTAAAATCTTCTTTGGCCTAAAACTCTAAATATTAAGGACTAAATCAAGGTTTCTATCATCTATTATGTGTGAAACATGAAAGTAAATTGGGCATGTAGCCACTTACATCAAGTGGTATGGTACTTCATGCCCATATGGCCCCTCAACCGAAGTTGTTATGACCGACACATCAACATCAGTAATCCTTTCTCTCAACCTTTCTGTCCATTTGCCAAGAACCTTTATGAGAACAGCAAGGTGATGATTTCCATCCAAAGGGCTAGAAGAAACACTGAATGGATGCCACTGCAGCCATGATAGTTCCCGGACTTGAAGGAAAATGAAACTTAGTGCATTGTATCTCAAACCTACATTTCAAAAGGATTTATTGTCATTCAACTGGTAATGGTACCAAATTATGTGCACAAAAATACTTTGTTAAGTATAATTACTTTGAGGTTTTGACAGAACCAACTCCACAGTGCCGCATGGAAGGCATCTAGATGAGATTATATTAACTTTCCTTCGTGATTGGCAGAACCTCAGAAATCGATCAAGCACAAAAAGAAATATTCCCCCAGCAGCCATAGTGAAAATAAAGTCACCAACATGCAATGCCAAAAAGACAACAAAGACTACATATAATTGGTGGGTGTAGAAAAACAACTCAAAGTTCCTTGTTCGCACTCCGGGAAGAGAGGTCACCCACATAAACAAACCAGCTAGAAGGCTGATAACCCCTGGGAGATTGGCAACACCAATATCTTTCCATTGTACTAACTGCAAATGGAACCAAATTATTTACAGAAAATAGTTTGCTTGATTAAGCCAATGTATTATTTCAAGCTAAAGTTTGAACTATCAGTAAAAGTTTTATACTTTGAAAGAAAAAAGAAGTTTATGTAGAGCCACTTTTTTAATAGATTGACCAGTTTGAGATGTCAAAAATTAAAATTAGATTTTACTGTTTATGAACCATTATTTTATTCAAAATATAAGACACTTGAGAGTTGAGACCAACCAAAATCATTCATTAAACCACAGGATGACCATCAATTCATTAAAATAGAAGTCATCCTCATCCAGCAATCAAGAAATATATCAGGCTTTCTATATCAAATAAATAAATAGAAACACAAAGGGTGTTGAAAAAGAACACTTATGCGTTGTCTTACATTCAGAAAGTGTGTCAGTATAAACTATCTTCAAGAAAAGAAATCCATTAAAGAGGACTCACTTCTTGTACAAGGCGGCCATCCATTGCCCATGGAATAACATACAAGAGTCCATGGAGAGTAAAAAGCACCATTGTGAGGTGTCCCAGCCATACATGATATCTTGTGGCATGTTCAAAAGGGATATCTATATAGCGGAGAAGAACAGATCCTCTTGAAACTGGGATAAATAGGAAAGCTAAACACATTAACCCAATCCCACCCGTGCGAAGTCCCATAATTTCCAACAGGAACATGCTGAAAAATTGAAGTAAATCAGGAAAATCAGCTTATCATGTTCATCATTTTTAAACCTACATGAGCATTGTAAACTTTCTTGGCCAAATACTTGTTCCAAAATGTAATGTTCAATAATGGTTGCTGTCAGTGATAATTAACTTGCAAAAAAAAAAAAAAAAAGATTCTATTTGAAGCACAAGTAAACAACATATAGATTCCAGGTCAAGGCTACTCACTTATAAGTTAAAACAGACTAGGGAAATATGCTTTTATGCATGTTTACAGAGAAATGATACTAACAAGTTCTACCATACCATGGCTAAAACAAAGAATACAACACTTTAATGCATAGGTGTGTATAATTCCCCAAAATTTGGGTGCATGAAGTTGTATTTTTTATTTTTTCTGTCAGGGGAGAGGATTGCTAGCTCGGGTAAATAAATACAGTCAAATATAAGCACCTCTCAAATTGAAAACCGTCAAATGTCAAGTTCATATAGAAATCACTCTGATAATACATGTGTCGCGACACAGTTTCTCATCACGGTATGGTAATCTACAAGGTAAAGTGCTAAACTAAGGTGAGATTTTCTTGTATATTTTATAAAACCTCAATTGATTCTTAGACATCCAAAAGTCAAATGAAGGCAAATGAGACATGAAAATGTATCACCGATACAAACTGAACTGAATGTTTTACTGAAGCCATATATAACCCACTAAAGGATAAACTAAAGGGAGTTTAGAATATGATGCATGAAGTGCCTATACATGATTGAGTCATCAAGCAGTTAATTCATCTACTTTTTTCCTTTTTTTATTGCTTTCGTGATGGAGTTGATTCCTCTCTTTTTTTCCCCCTTTTTTTGACGCACCGAAGGCTGATTGAAATATTTCTATTGAAGAATCCCCAGAGAAGTGTTAAAAAATAATTAGAAGAGCAAATGAGTACTCCAACAAACGATAAAGGGAAAAACTACACGTCTTCAACAAAGCAAAGAAATTCATTACATAAAGCAAGTCTGCAGAGTCCATATTTTGAAAATAAATGAATGGCACAAGATTGTTGTACCTCTTGGCTCTAATGGACGCCTTTTCAAAGAATGAGGTAGACCCAAGGGCTCTCACAAAGTAAGCATAGACAGCCCAGATAACATACAGCATAAAGAGGACAATCCCAATGAACTCTGCGGCAGAAACAACCCCAAATGGTCCCTTGACAAGCACAGGAAATGTCCATAGGCGGAACCTTGGATGCTTCGAATTCTTCTTCCTGCCATCAAAACCCAAGTCAAAAACAAAGTACCCAACATGGTTATGTCTGATAAACTTTTTCTATAAGAACTTATAAGAAAAGAAAATAAAAACTAAGAAGGTTAACTAAATTGAACTTCACCAAGAAGTTAAAATTAACTTCTGTCCTTCAACTTCCGGAGATGTTATACGAGAGAACTTCCAACATAAGTTGATTTTAGCTAATGGGAAAACTCAATTCATTTTAGTTTCTTATTTTCTTCTTCTTTAAGTGTTTATGAAGAAGTTTATAATACAATGATGATGAAATTCAGTGCACTTATGGTTTTAAATTGCAGTTAAGGTGGCAATTGGATTTGCGTCAAAATCTTTGATATCATGGAAAATTGCAGTTGTAGTAAACGTAAAATCCTTTACCACCGCAATTGTGGCTATGGAGTGCAATTTAAAACCTATAGGCACATATAGGAAAGTTTGAGAAAATCACATACCCATGAAGCTGATCATCCCCGGTAAGAATTAGGTGTGCAATGGCAAGAAATGCAATTATGAGAACCGGGGCACTGAAGAGCAGAAAAATGCTTCCTGCAAAACACACACACAGTTAGCTTTGAACTCACGCCACAAACACAATGAAAAGCAAGAAAACAAAAAGAAAGGTAAATAACCTGTGACTCCAAAAGGGGTTTCACGGTTGAGGTTGTTCCATTTTGAGAACAACTCATTCACAGGATTTGCAGGGAGCAGAAAAATGAAAGCTACCCATGCAACGAAGATCACGCAGATCAAAGTCTTGAGAGTCCATTTAGCAGCTGACACAAGACAAAACGATGTCTTGGTTGCAGTTTCACCACCTAAAGGAGAAAGCAAAGGACTAGGATCAACAGAGTTTTTCTCCATGGACACAACAAAAATTGCTCCACCATGCACTAGCTTGCTTGTTGCAACTTATTGAAGCACATTGCCACTTAGAAATAAAAGGTGGTGGCGGAAAAGAAGACAAATTTGATTTGTGGAACCCATCGTGATAAGAAGTTAGTGTAGTAAGGGGAATCTTAGGACCACCCAAATGAATTTTTTCAATTTTTATCCGAAGTTGGATAATTGAGTGCACTGTAAATTGTAATGCATGAGTGTACATAATTTCTCCAACCAGGAACATGTGGTGGAACCGAACTACATACGTTACTTCAAAAAAATGTTGAAAGATCGAGGTGGGTTCAACTGCACCATTCATGCCTTCATCAGAGTAATGACCCACAATTAAGAGCAAAGGAACAAAGTAAGACGTCAAATTTTACGTCACCAACGTCAACATTATTGTTTAACTATACATTTACTTTATTTTCTATTCGTCTATTCTTTTTTCATCAACATTATTGCTATTTATGACACACATTTTGTGGCTTTTTCTATCTTTTTTTTCTTGTTATTTCTCTCTTTCTTCTACTCGTGGGTACCAGTTTTAGAGTATAAGAATATCGTTGCTCCTTGTTTAATTGTTTTGTTCTCTAGGAACAGGTATTGCGTTTGAGAGTGAAACATTCATGTATCTTCCATAAACCTTTTTGGCTTTTTCTGGTGTATATAAAGGCTTGAAACGAAATCTTGATAAAAGTAAATAAACATATTTCACAAAAACTAACCAACATTAAATGAAAACATTATTTTTTATCCACAAATATTACTATTATTAGTTCAGTGTATTTACCTGCTTTAATTGACTATTAATTTTCTAAAAAACTTGACTAATTAATTTTTAGGGTTAAATACCTATTTTGGTCCCTTATAATCTTTTTTTGTTTCAATGTAGTCTTTCATTAATTTTTTGTCTCAATTTGGTCCCAAATTAATTAATTGGTTTCAATTTAGTCCTAAATTAATTAATTGGTTTCAATGTGGGACTTCCGTCCAAATTATTTAAACGGAGTTAACTTTTGGCCACGTGGATGCATACGTGGATGCATACGTGGATGCCACGTGGATGACAATTTTGTTGAAAACACCTGGACCCAGAACGGCCCGTTCTGAAATCGGAACGAACCGTTCTGATTGCACTTTTGGTGTGTTAATTTTGCATCTGGAACGGCCCGTTCCGGTTTCAGAA